ACGGCGGGAACATTCCTTGTGTTGCGTATACACCGGACGTGAGTAACAAGATTATATCTCATTGAAAACGTTCTGATATTCATTTAGACCATCAATTGGCATCAAGGCGACAACCGCTCATCGTCTGCGTCGGCTTATCTGACACCTGTAGAGTTCGAACGTAAAGGATGGCTCACTCTCGTCTCGCACCGGGTCACCAAGATCCTCACCAACGGATCTGCCCCCTCCGTTTTCGCAACCGGCGTCCAGTTCAGAGCCACTTCCAACAACGGCAGCACCTTCACCGCGAACGCACGTCGCGAGGTCATCCTCGCCGCTGGCGCAATTCACAGCCCGCAGATTCTTCAGCTTTCCGGCATCGGCGATCCCGCCGTCCTCGCTCCTCTTGGGATCCAGAACGTCGTGAACCTGACAACGGTTGGACGCAACCTCCAAGAACAGACGATGAATTCGTTGGGACATTCCGCCAAGTCGTCGTTCAATCCGGATGGGAGCGGGCCTTCGGACGTCATCGCGTATCCGTCTTTGTCTCAGCTTTTCGCGAGCGGCGCAGGCGCGAATTCGAGCACAAGCGCAGATGCGGTGAGAGCACAACTGTTGGCATCGTATCCGTCATGGGCGAAGAGTCAAGCTGTGAATGGCTTGAGTGCAGATGCTTTAACGACCATCTTCGGGATCCAGGCTGGGCTGATTGCGAATGACAGCTGTAAGTACCACATTTTAAATACGAGGTTTAGCCTTTCTCATTTCTTGACTCCCTCATCAGCTCCAGTGGTCGAGCTTTTCTTCGATACTGGCTATCCAGCGTGAGTCTGGTCTCAGTTATGTAAAAGAAGGTTTATTAACGCCTTCTTCTTTAGGGATTTCGGAATTGACATGTGGCAACTTCTCCCTTTCAGCAGAGGAAATGTTACAATCAACGTAAGTGACGAGCACATAGAGCAAAATATACATTTACTAAAATACGTATACAGAGTACGGATCCCTTCGCTGAACCGAAAACTATTGTCAACTATTTCAGCGTTGACTTTGACCTTCAAATCCAGACCGCCGGCGCGCGTCTTTCCCGACGCGTTATGAACGGGCCTTCGTTCAGGTCTGTCCCACCACGCACAAGACACGTGTGCCATTCTAACATTTTTTCGATTCTTCCAGCGCATTTTCCGACACCGAGACTATCCCCGGAACATCGAAAGTGCCATCCAACGACTCCGATAATGGAACGGACGAGGAATGGCGGTCCTGGATCACTTCGGCGTCATCCAACGGAGGATTCATTTCTGTCTCACACCCTATTGGCACGGCGGCCATGATGCGACGCTCATTGGGAGGCGTCGTCGATGGGCATTTACGTGTGTATGATACTCTCAATCTGAGGGTTGTCGACGCGAGCGTGCTTCCGATGCAAGTTAGCGCGCACTTGAGCAGCACGCTGTATGGCGTCGCGGAGAAAGCTGCCGATCTGATCAAGGCGGACTTGGAGAAGTAAGATTTTCGTATTGCTAATTTACATTTGGACAATTTCCTCTCCAATGCGATCCCTTGTACTCTTTCACCTGTAACAGGCTAGTATTAGACGTTTGTATATTCGTTCCTTCAGAAGTGATTCCCATCGTGGTGCCGTCAGCCTCGACAGACTTGAGAAAGCAAATCCTCGTCCATGCGTTCGTGATCCTGAAACGTTAATTTAGGAAAAAAGAAGGTAGACAAGCTCTGTTATAGTTTCCTGCTTCCCCTTTCACTCGTTGAGTTTCATGACCTATTCCGCAAGTCCTAAGCCTCGTTAGCCGGATGAAGATCGCGGAGTCGACGCCATTTACTGAAGAACTCGATCGAGCTTTTGTTACAATTCACAACACGAAGACAACGTTGATTACTCTGACAGCAGTATACTACATAAAGACTCTTTATGCTTAAGACGATTAAATCAGTGCGTGAATGAATAATAAACGAACGTGATGCCATGCAAGGCGCGGTGGTTGTCAAATCGCGAATGAAACAAATATCCAATGTCCAAAACTAATAGGTCAAATATAAATGGATCGCCACGTTCAATCAAGGAGGATTCCACAATAACAAGTCAAAGGAAGAGAAGGAAATAGACGGCCAAGGGAAAAGGTAGGAAGGTCAAGCGTTATCCGCTTTGATCAAATCAGCAGCCTTCTCCGCGACACCATAGAGCGTGCTGCTCAAGTGCGCGCTGACTTGAATCGGCAACACGCTGGCGTCCACCACGCGCAGGTTGAGCGTGTCGTAAACCCGCAAATGGGCGTCGACAACGCCACCAAGAGAACGGCGCATCATGGCTGCTGTCCCGATAGGATGCGAGACAGGAATGAATCCCCCGTTGGAGGAAGAAGAGGTAATCCACGAACGCCATTGCGCGTCTGTCCCGCTGTCGGCGTTATTGGATGGCACTTTTGACGTTCCGGGGATGGTCTCGCCGGTGGAGAATGAGCTGGAAATACGAAGTTAGCCGTCTTGTTTGAAGATCGTGACGAGTTATGCTGAGACTTACTTGAACGCAGCCCCGTTCAAAACGCGCCGGGAAAGCCTTGCGCCGGCGACTTGGACTTGCAGGTCATAGTCCACGTTGAAGTAATTTACGACCGTCTTTGGTTCGGTGAAAGGGTTCGTAGACTAAGATAGCAATCAGTATATGAGTTGATTTTAATGTAAGAACAGCTGCACGCACCGTAATGGTCACATTTCCGCGGCTGAAGGGGAGCAGATTCCAAGTTAATAGGCCTAGAGTACTGCGTTGAAATAAATTAATCCATTACTGAAGTATATGTCAGAAAAGATGCGGACGTACTCGGGGTAGTTCGTGTCGTAGAACATCTCAATGACGGGGACTGTGAGAAAAAGACCGATATTTACTACCGAGAAAAAAGACGCGGTAAATGAAGAGGACGGACCACTATTGTTGACGATCAGTCCAGCCTGGATCTGGAAGATCGTCGAAAGAGCACTAGCATTCAGAGCGTTCACGGCCTGGCTGTTAGCCCAGGTGGGATACATCGCGTTAATCTGCGCTTTGACAGCAGCGGCGCTCGTACTCGAATTCGCACCCGCGCCGCTTGCGAAAAGCTGGTCGAGGGAAGGGTAAGCGATGACATCGGGCGGGCCCATCCCTCCGGGATTGAATGTCCCCGACGCAGAGTGTCCGAACGTACTCATCGTTTGCTCTTGAAGATTCCGTCCGACAGTCTTCAGGTTCACGAGCGTGTTGATCCCCAGCGGTCCGAGAACGGTGGGGTCTCCGATACCGGACAATTGCAGGAGATGCGGGGTGTGGATGGCGCCTGCCGCAAGAATGACTTCGAGGCGGGCGTTGGCGGTGAACGTGCTTCCGGTGTTTGCTGTGGATTTGAATTGGACACCAGTTGCTCGGACGTTCGGGGCGGTGCCGCTCAGGAGGATCTTCGTAGCTCGGTAGGATACAAGCGTCAGCCATCCGTGACGATTGTTCTCGACTGGAGTCAGGTATGCTGAAGCAGAGGAGGACCGGTTGTCGGCTTCATGCCAGTTGATGGTCTTCACAGAAGATCAATCATGAATGATAATATAATCTTCAAAAGTAAACCGCAATTACTTACGTTCGGAACGTAACTGACACAGGTCGGGTTACCGCCGTTCAAGTCCGGAGATAGTGGGATGTTCGTCAAGGCCTGGACGGAGCTGACGAACGCCGGCTGCTGGGGACCACCGTACATTGCATCAGGGAAGGTCACCTGAACGGGACCTGCCGTGCCGTGGTAAGCGTCGACAGAATTAGCACCCTTCGCGCGCTGCTGGGTGTTCGGGGCGGAGAACGCTTCAGACTAGAATAGAGATATCAGTTTCTGCAGTATATGCCGGGATGAATGGCCGACCTTCTGCATGTACGAAAACAGCCCGTTGAAGTTCCAACCAACACTCGCATCGGTAGTTTCGAGGAGCGATTGCCATGCATCATATTGAGCTTGTGCACCACGAGTCCATGTACCGCCGTTGATCGATGTGCCTCCGCCCAAGGTCTTTCCGCTGATGAAATGAGAATTATAGCGAATTTCAAAGCGACAGCATTATTTTGTCACTGACCCGAGCATACCGCGATTCTGGTCCGTAGCAAAGTTCCAGACCAGATTCGTGCTGAAAGCCTGGCCGTACTCATAGATATCGTACACTGCAAAACCGGTTGGCCACGGATTTGTACGACTGATACGCGGAAACGAACTCACCAAGTGGGTTATTGCGATCGTCATTTCCTGCCTCGATGACGAGGACAGTCACGGATGAATTCTCAGCGAGACGAGCAGCCACTGTGATTCCAGCTAATCCTCCACCAACGACGATGTAATCGAACGTCTGACCCGAAGCATTGGAGGGGTCGGTCGTTACACCAGAGACTGGCAGCGCGCGGCTGAAAGTCTTCTGTGGGGCAGCATTGGCATACAATGCGAGAGAGAAAGTGAAAAGAGCGGATGGTAATCTAGATAACTTCATTAGTATAGGTGAGTGAAGGGGGATAGAGAGCAAACGCGCCTTCATCTCGAAAATTTATACCGTCGTCGTCAAGCGCGTATTCCCCCGATGTCCTGCATAGATCCGCCGAATATAAATTCGCGCTCTGACCTGAGCGCACGACCTGTACGGAGATCATGACCGCTTCTGGAATCCAAATTGACGAGGTCGGGTCGGATCGAAGAATAATCTTGGCTGCTGTCCAGGAAGCAGTGGGCGCATGTGCTTCCAACAGAGCGCGAGCAGAGCGGATCAGGTAGCAAACGACGCGAACGTATTCGAACGCAGGGACGAGTATCGAGCGAAATTCTCTTCGAGGATGAACAAGCGATAGAAAATGGATACGACAACCAGGATTGACGCTGTTGCCCGAGATGAAAGTAGGAATGCAAAGAGCGTTGCGGGTGCTGCACAGCTGGATTGTCAAGAAAAATCCACGTATATATATGCGTTCTGATTACATTTATGTATGTAAAGGTTTTCCTTTGAATCTCACACTGGTGGTGAAACGGCTATCATGCTTGCCTTCCAAGCAAGCGGCAGGGGTTCGACTCCCCTCCAGTGTATACCTTTTTTGCCATCGTTCCTTTATTTTTCTCCCTCAAAACTCCTCCTTTTATGAACTACTTCTTTTAGTATGCGTCATCAATCGTTGTGCGTCATCGAATTACTAGTGCTGAGGTTCTGCCATTGGGTTCGGATGACTTTCTGCCATCCGCGTGTCATTGGGGCAGGGGGCGCGGATGCCAGACTTTGCCAGTGGTGACGAATCTTGACCACGACGGCGACAACGACGGACACTTATAGGATCAACCGCAATGTTCAACCACTTAGTGCGCAATAGACTGGTGAATATCGAAGATTCACGACAGAGGACTGTGATCGGGCTGGTGCATCGTCACTGCTGATTCGTCAGACTCAGGCGGTTGAGCCTGTGCAGCTAAGTCCATGGCGAAATAAGTTTCATCATCCAAGTCGAGTTCACTGCATTGCTATTAGGACAGCGAAGCTTGATGCATTATGCATGTACGATGGGCAATCGGATGCTACGTCTGCAGTATCGTTGAACGGAACCTCGTCGTCCTGGCTGGGCAACGTTCGATGGGCAGCCTCCTCGCCGTTTTCCGCTTTTCATCGTTTCTTGATGCAAGGTGTGCAAAGTGAGTGCTAAATCCATTACCGTGATGTCAATGATGCTCATTCCTTTTGGTGGTGGATTGGCAGGCGTCACAACAACTACCATGTAGATGTTTGTCAGAAAATGCGTCGGTCCTCGTCCTTGAGATCAAAGCAGGAAATGACGACCGAAAATACAAGCTCGTCTGGCAACTCACGCATCGCCAATCGATTTTTTGCGGTCGATATGTGTACGGTTGTGCGTCCGAGCGTTCGAAATAGTAGCTCTCGGAGGGAAATTCAAGGCTGAAAATATACCGGCGGGTGCGTTCATGTATGAATCCTTGTATTAACTTCATTTGACGTTGCTTCTCACCAGCGAAAAAAATCCGTTTACTTTCCAATGCATTTTGGACCAGAGGCTGCGATCTCGGCCCTCCTCGAAGCTTTGCAAGCGGAGCACGAGCGCAATTTCGACTCTCTCTCTATTTTCGTACGTGAAAGGTATGTATGCATGGGAACGCTCTGTCCGTATCTCGTTCCGTTTCAAGGAACTCATCTGACCTACACTTCGCCCAGTCCGAGATAATTTCGGACCCGATTTCGCAGCAAAGGTTCAGTTGCACCGTACCACGCGGAGTCCGGACCTCAGCCCATACATTCGTCGAGGCTGCGAAGAACTTCACGGGTATCCCGCATTTCGCAGACCTAAATGGCGGGAACATCTCATGCTTTGGTTTCATGCCGAACGTAGGTGAAGATTCTAAATCGCGACTCATGAATTTGCAGACTATCTATTGGCACAAAGGCAATAATCGCTTGTCTTTTATGTCAGGCGAATTGACGCCTTTCGCCCGCGCGGAGGACGTCTGATTTAAATCCACGTGGAAAGCGGCAGCAATTTCATCGCTAAGTGCGGCGCAAGGTCTGCACATCCTCTAGCTGTTTTACACCGGCGATCCCGTCTTCCTCACCCCATCAAGGACACACAAGTCATGAATCGACTCCAAGAGGGCGTAATATTCAATTTCGGACGATGAGTTCTCTGGGTCACTCGCTGCTCGACCCGGATGGGAGCTGACTTTTAGAATGCCGCGCATACCGATATTTGGCTCCGTTAATTGCGGTTTGCGCCTGGGAGAATTCGAGTATGAGGTACGAGCGCTTTAATTTCTTTGACTTCATATTTGTCGCGGAAAGCCGGGCTGTGGACGATTTAGTGTTGACATCTTATTTTCCATCTCCGGGATCCGGGCTGGATTGGGAGGCAGCGACAGTAGGATTATTATGCGATCACCGAAAGAATTTTTACATTATACCTACAAAAGCGCCACTCGTTTAGGTGCACTACCTCAGCGCTCGTTACCCATGGTGAGCTTTTTCGAACATATGATCGAATTACTTTATAAAATAGCGTTGACGGCGATTACGAAGCTGACATATGGTAATTTCTCCAAAGGAAATGTAACATTCTACGTGCGTGAACCTCCCAGCGTGCTCTTCGACACCGAGGCCATACCCACTCATCAAAAGAGCGATCGAAGAACGCCGACAGCGGTTACGACAACGCTTGGGGATTCTCAATACCTCGGCGTTCTCCCGAGTCTTCGTTTCGCTTGCCATCGGCAAGATCGTCATGATGTGCCGTTTCCTCGACGGCGTTGACACGCACTGGATCTTGCTGTGGCGAATTTCGATTTTTGGAAGCGGATGGCCGCTGCAATCCGACTTAATCGGGGATTTTAGATCTTGAGGCAAATCGAATTGGTGTGGACCTTCGAGTTCTATATTCTTTCGTGAACAACATTTCTTCAATTCTGACGACTACGGGACTACTTTGGCAACTGGAAACAGTACAGTGCTTCTGGACTACGATCTAAAGCTTGACACATTCCGAATGCAACTGTGCTAGGGCGGATTCAGCTGCAAGATAATTCAAAAGAGGTGGCAACAATGCAGTGAGCTGATCATTCGCGCGATCGCGTCCGTTCTGCTTCAGAATCTTCTCGTTCTCATACCTCATGTCTTCACTCTTAAGCTTTTCCTCAACAACGGACTTCGCCATCCTCCAGCTCTTGTCCATTATGAGCTCCAAGGTTTCCCTTCCCTCCTCTTGCAAATCCTCAAAGAAGACTGAAAGAAGATGCTTGTGGAGCTGTTCTGTAAAGTCCGTTTTCCTCATGAATATTTTTTCAGACTAAAATATAATGAGTTTGGTAGAGCTCTTCGACTCGAGCGTGCAAACTTACCTGCTTCATGAACGGCCAGAATCCCACACCAATTACCCATGCCACGGATGCCAAAATTGTGATCGGTGCTCGGAGCATGAATCCCAGCTCGTCCAATTTGTTACTTCGTTGACTGGAATTTATGTCATCTGCAGCATCTTCGAGCTCATTTTCGTTTTTCAGAACTTCTATCATCGAGGAAGAGGAAGGGATGAGAGGCTTAGCGATGGAAGCTTCGATTGCCTGAAATGCAGTCCTGGGTGTGTGACGGATTGCAGCCTTGTGCATGGCATTTTTCCTGATCTGAAGGAACCGTGAAGTGAGCGCCTGAATATTCGATCCCTTCTCTTCGAGGTCTCCAATGAGGTCATCCTTGAATTGCAACGTCAGGTCATTGTTCCCAATTGATTTCTTGATCTTTTCGGTCAGACTTCGAAAATAGGAGGAATGTGAACTCGATGCCAGATTTCGGACAAATTCAACGAGCTTCTCCTTGGCGTTGGCAAGTTTTCCGGAGACATCCCCTTTTATGGTGTCAAGAAACAGATCCGCATGGAATGGGGAAATAAACTCCAATTTCTCAGCAGAGTTTTCCGCCTCGGAAATGATTATCATCTGTGGCAAACCGTGGTAAGTCCTTTGGTTACTAAGTTCAATAAACACTTACCTTTCCGGAAAGAGCGAATTCCTTTATCCTATTATCCACAATGTCATCGAGGATTCTCCTATATTCGTCTCGGGAATGCGTAAACCCTTGAGACAGGTTGTCTCTGGTCTTCTTTTTTTCCAATTCCTGTTCGCGCACCCATGTGGCCAGGATAGAAAGCAAAGTGTTCTTGACGCGATGGAATTCTTTTACCGCCTCTTCAAACGCGAGTTGTGATCTACGTGCTGCTTCAACAGATCGACTGTCGACGTTTGCTGAGTTAAATAGAAAGCTGCATCGCTGTGATATAGACGTACTATTGGTAGAGATAATTCTTCTGGATCTGCTTACGCAAAACTTCGTTCGCTTTGATGAGTAGATTCTTTTGAGAAACAGCAACAAGATCTCGAATTAGGCGCGAGATTGTCGCGGGCAGGCGGCTTTTATCCAATTCTTTACGAATGGCGTCCTTCCACTGTTCGAGAGACATTCGATCAAATTTTCTCTTTGCGAGCTTTGAGCTGCTTCCTAGAATCTCTTTTGCGCACTGAGAATTGAAAGTCAAGCATACCGTCCAATCGATTTAACAATTACAGTAAGTTGACGCCTCCGTTTTAGTCAATTGCAAGATGAACTTAAGTTGATTCTACGCACATCGTGGAATAATGAATCCCCTCTTGTAATATCAGAGAAGTCAGGTTTCATGCCTTCCGATACCTGAAGAAGCAATCGAGCGCTGATTCCACGTCGGGTTGCGCACGTCGAAACGAGGTCCAAGCAATTTTCGTTGTAAGGCGCGAAGGTCTTCGCAATATCAAAAGCCATATCGTTAACTCTCTCCCTGGGCTTTTTTTTTTGGTAAATCGTCAGCTATTCGCTGTTGACATAAGATCAAAATGAGAAACGTACTACACAGTCAAGATAGGAGCATAAAACTAAATCTGGTGGACCCCCAATTACTGTTTTCAAGATTCTGGAAAGTTGTTGGCGCCACTCATCTCTTGCAAATTCATTGAACGAAACGATGGGAACTATCGCATTCGCCTCGCCAGCAGCCTCTCGCACAAGCTCCTCAAATTCGAAAAACTAGACGATAGTGACTAGCCGTAAAAAAGACTATGATGCGCTAGGAAACTTACATCCGTCTTTTCTCCAAAGCCCTATCACAGCGGTTAGAGTTTAGTCGTGCAAAAAATAATCGACAAACCGGTAGGTCTAAAAACTGGATACAAAACGAAGATAGGGTCATGCTTATAAATATGCACGAACTATATAGCGTACCTCAAACACCTGAACAGTATTCCTCTCGCTACGAAAGGCATCGAACTCAACGGTGAGCAATGGCCATTCACCGCATAGTTTGTGAGATTTTTCCAGCGGCACATGGAAGCGCCAACAAAGACGAACAATATCGTTGATGAGACCTAACTATGATTCAAGTCGGGTTAGAACGGATGTTTTTGGTCTACAGAAAGGCAAGTTCCACGAACAAGGTCAGTGACGTCCTCTGCACCTTCGGCCTTGTCGGGCAAAGCAAAATTGGGACCCTCTATTCGTTTCAAATTTCGTTTCGTGT